AGTGAGCTCGCGCGGCACACGGTAGGAACGAGGATCGCTATTTTTGAGAAAAATTATACCTAGATGCCAGAGATGAGAGGATAGGATAATCGGTCTTATGTTAAGATATAATGAGAAACAAAATATCTTTTATAAAGATGATAAAAACTCTAGCTTTTAGTTTGAATGTGTTGAAACAAAAGTTTTCCTCTTCTAAATAAATTTCTCAAAGAAAAAGAGTTACATGTAACCGCAAATGTGGATCAAAACATAAATGAACATCAATTGAACCTCAAGAATCCTTGAGGGAATATTTTCCAATAGAGCTACAGGACAGAATGCTTAGTGCGTCGGAGTATGAGAACATGATCGATATTAGTTTTTAGTTTGCGCCTACTCTAAAAAATCAGAATTAGACTGGATGCCGCTCCGATTAGTAGAATTCAATTATCGTACATTAAACCTAATCAATCAATCAAGATTTTGAGTTGAAAATTCAAGTTGAAGATGTATACAATAAGGTGTCAGGGGTCTTACACATAAAACTATTACCAATTTACTTTTTTGTCGAGATGGGGTTCCGCAAAGGAAGTGTTTCGGTGTTGGTGTTTCAAAATAAACACATCAACACTGTGAGCTATGTTTTAATTAAAACAAGTACAGAAAAAATACAAGTTGCAAAGAATGGTCACTGAAATGTTCAAGTTACGAGTTCTTGGTACAAAGGTTGAAATACTTGTCCTCTCGTTTATGAATTGGTACAATTAATATATACATATAGAGAGGTAGGTACGCCCTTCGACAAACAGAGATGGTAACGCCCATTCGGTTCTGAAAAATATTGAATTTGAACTAGAAGATGCCGACACAGCGGGTGCTTGCAAAGGTTTATGAAAGTAGGTAATTGTACATTTGCGAACCATCCCTGTTTGTAGATGTCCAGTTCAAAGAAATTCCCAGGCGTGTCTATGAATAAATATCTTCAAAGTGATAATAAAAATTTGTACAAACTAACAACTATCGTAAACTAATAGAAATATAAAACTTAACTTACAGCACGTCTTCTTAATATTACAAAAATATATACAATGACTATACACAATGACTATATACAATTAACAAGGACCGAACAATCTTAAAACACCCACAAAAATTGCAAATAAATATGGAATATTTCAACTTGTTTGCATGGCTCAATTTATTTTTAGGTCCTCTTAAACCTATTTTTGTACATAACGTACCCTTTATGTGCTTTAACGCCAAAATCTTTAGCCTATGATGCAACACGTGTACACAGAGAAATTGCTTCCATATGTTTATTGCATTATACATTCTACATATTGCTTTAAGTATTTAGTTATTCAGATGAAAGGAATATTAAACCACAATAAAACAAAGCTTTGTTAAAGAAAGTAGCAGTTCCCTTTAGTAATGCAATTATCACACGTGTATATTAACATGTAGTTATCTTTAATAAAATGCAAAAACTTTATACAGTANGGAAGTCAGGTAAATCAGGACGGAAGGAGTACTAGGGATATACAGCAGAGGATGCGCAGGGTCGAGTCACCTTCAATAAAAAGACGTCACTTTTATGCTCGCGAACGGAAATTTTAGAATTTCGAAAAAGGTTGTTAAAGACGTGGGTAGAGAAGGTTAGAAATGATGAGGTATTAGAAACAGTAAGAGAACAGAGGACTCTATGGAAGTCAATAAGAAATAGACGAGATTGGTTAGTAGGACACCTTCTCAGGCATGAAGGTCTTATTAGAGACTTCTTAGAGGCAGATACGGGAGTTAGGAGGGATATAGGTAGACCTAGATTAGATTACTGTTCGCAAATAGTTAAGGATGTGGATTGTTCTAGTCAGTGGGGATGACCATGAAGCATGAAATACTTCTGAAAAATTCCAGAATAAGGTGGTTTGTAAGGGTCAAATTGGTTCTAAGGTCAAAAATTAGGGGCTCATAATTTATGTTTTATTGATTTTCACTTAGACAGAGGACGCCGCGGAAAAGAAAAGGTTAGAAGCGTTTGGAATGTGGTGTTACAGGCGAATGATGAGGATATCGTGGATAAAGAAGGTTAGAAATGAAGAGGTATTAGAAAGAGTAAGAGAACAGAGGACTCTATGGAAGTAAATAAGAAATAGGAAGACAGAATAGTAGGACACCTTCTCAGGCATGAAGGTCTAGTAAGAGACATATTAGAGGTAGCAACAGGAGTTCAGATGAGTAGAGGTAGACCTAGATTAGATTACTGTTCGCAAATATTTAAGGATGTGGGTTGTTCTAGTTTTGGGAAAATGCAAAGACTAGCTCATGATAGGAAAGGATGGAGGTGCATGTCCAACCAGTCTTAGGACTGACAACCTTATGATGATGATGAATGAATAAATATATATTTAAGATAAAAGCTTCAACTAGAAGATTTATTAAAACACCTCCACAATATTTATGCTAAAAGTAGAAATTGAAAACTGCGGTCAAATCAAG